TATAACTAGAAAATGTGGAAGTCCTGTCAGTCGATTAAATGAGGTATTCTCTGCACTGACCTTTTTAAGGAAGAGAATATTAGTTTTTCTACCATAACCCGAGTTGAAAAAAGTTTTGAAATAGAAAACATCAGTGCTCCATTCTGAAAGTCCTGCAGTGTTTATGATGAATAAAGTACTTATGAATCATAGATAATGTCTGTTAGTTGACCAATGGTCAACAGCGATTATCGAGAGAGAATGTTTTGTTTTTAAACTGCATTAGCTCTTGTCCTTCAAATATTTGGTCCACAGCTGCCTTTGTTAACTGCTTAGAGGCTCCTGAATTGTTTTTAAACAGAAATGCCAACTCTACTGACTTCCTGATTGTCGATAGACATGAGGTTCTTTGTTTTACATGTATATACATCAGGAAATGAAATGAGATTACTACATGCTGTGCTAAGGAAAACAATAAAAGTGAAAAAATGTTATTTTTAGATAAGACTATTTCCTAAACCTTTAGAGGTATCATAAAAATTTGTCCACCATGTGGAAGACTATGAACACGTGTGGCCCGTATCTCTTCCTATGGCGGAAAACACTAATTATCTATCTATATTACAGTCACTTTCTCTCACTCGGCACGCTAAACCTGACATTTCAGTGTAAAGTCCACTACGACAAGGAAGTAAGCTGTTCTGTTAATGGGAAAGAAAAGAGCGTTATGTAAGAATAAGCCTTCAGGCATCTGCTGAGCAAAAAAGACAGCCCAAAAGAAGAAACGGAAGAGCCAGTGAGTTTCATAAGAAAAACTGGTTACAGTTCAGAGTTGACTTTATATAGTTCTCTTTCTATTAAGGTGTATCAGCACTTTTGACTTCTTTTTTTTTTTTTTTTTGAGAGTTTTGCTCTTGTTGCCCAGGCTGGAATGCAATGGTGTCATCTTGGCTCACTGCAACCTCCACCTCCCAGGTTCAAGTAACTGTCTTGCCTCAGCCTCCCGAGTAGCTGGGAATTCAGGCATCCGCCATCACGCCCAGCTAATTTTTGTATTTTCAGTAGAGATTGGGTTTTACCATGTTGGCCAATGTGGTCTCAAACTCCCGACCTCTGGTCATCCACCACCTTGGTCTCCCAAAGTACTAGGATTACAGGCCTGAGCCACCGTGCCCAGCCCTTGACTTCTCTTTTGTAAAAGTAATCCTCTTTTCTCTTGTACCTCAAGGAAACTGCTCCTATAATTTATGGATTAATACTCAATCCACATAAATGTAATTTGGATATAGTCCCTGAAATGTAAATATCTAGTATAATAGTATCCTGAAGAAAATAGCCTTTTGGGAAGTTATACATTCAGACCTCTCAGGCTATGAAAGCATTACCTTATCTTTTGTGGTGGCCATTCATTTAAAAGGTTATTGGATCCTCTAGGTTTTAGAATATCTTAGATTCAACTCTAGACCCTGTATTATAGCTAGAAAAGCCTTCCCTTGGGTTCTGTGTGCTCTAGGCTGATATTTTATTAATATGATTCAGGAAAACATATCTACAGTATGGAAGTCAAAGCCATTCTTTTAAATACAACTAAGGTTGTATAGTCATGCATTTAATAACATAGTGATAGATGCAGGAGGCAAGCAGATGCAGACAAGGAAATCTGCACAGGGTCTTGCCCGGGCATGCCTTCAAGGGACCGGAGCCCACATGCACACTGGGAGAAGCGGGTGGAGCCACCAGGAATTTGCGCCTTCTGCAGGGGAGAAGCCTGATCTTCAATCTGTGAGGTGGGAGCCTGTTGGCAGAACCCCCCGTTTCTTTGCTGAGAGGCTTCTTTTTGCCTAATAGTCCACTCTCCTTACCCTTCAATGTGTCTGCATGCCTAATTTTTCCTGGTCATGAGACAAGAACCTGGATTTTAGCTGAACTAAGGAGCAAAAAATCCTGCCTCAACAGCAAAAACAACTTTCTATAAAAAAACATAAATTTATTTATATAAATTATATAAGTTATGAGAATGAGACATCTAAAATGCCTAATGCTTAGCCACTGAAGTGAACGAGGTCAATTCCAATGTGTTGGGTATCTTCCCAGAAGTAGATGGGAAGGAATATATAATTACTTCTCTTACTCCAAAAGTTTAGGCCACTCAAGTGTACTAGTTTCTCTGGATCTCTGAAGATGGCTTTACTAGCATGGGCCTGCTATAGAAAAAGGGTGTTTATTAGGGACTCCTACGTAACAGATCACCCACACTGTCCACGGTGTAAACTAACCTTTTGGATAAAGTGTCTGACCTCTCCCCTCTTCTGACAGTGAATTCTCTTCCCAGACAGCTGCCCTTACAAACAAATTGCTGGGTAGAAGTAGCACTTTGACAAATGGAGCACAACCCAGATCCTTTGTTTCTCTGAATTCAGCTAACAAGCTGGCATTCCAAAAGCTCATTGGGGGCCATGAGTTACTGCGGAGGCCAGGCCTACACTTCCTTCTCCCTGGCAATCCATGTGGTCACACGTTCCCATGATCCGGGGGCCAGATCATGCTATTCCTAGTTGACATTCCATCCTGTCAGGGTACTCTCAAAATAAATAATATTTACAGCAGAGTTCAGAGCTGGCGAAAGAAATGTGGGGGAAAATCGTATCTTCAGAGTAAGTAGACTAGACACTGGAATCCATTGGATTTGTGGTTTTTAAATCATTTTTTTCATGGGACTTCAGAAATCTTTTTAAGTAGTTATGGACTGGCACTTATCAAAACCTCAAATTCCAAGGCCAAATGAACGTCATAAAAAAGTAACAAAGAAAAATTGTAACAAGGATTTAGTTTCTATAACCTGAAAACATATGTTCAGCAAATGCACTAAATGGTTATTGGCCACCTACAAAGTTCAAGGTCTCCAGCCAAGGCTAGTTACAGTCATTATCTATTTAAAAATTTGACTGCCACTGCTTTGTACCAAAAACTTAGAAAACTTAAATAAAAGGGGCCTGGAAATCTTTTTATACAAATATTCGAACAGAGCTTGAAGAGACGGGATTTGCGAATAGAATCAGCAAACTGTAACCCCCTGGACAAATCCAGTCCTCTGCTTGTTTATGTATTACCTATGAACTAAGGATGGCTTTTACATTTTTAACCAATTAGAAAAAGAAATCAAGGCTGGGCGCGGTGGCTCACACCTGTACTCCCAGCACTTTGGGAGGCCAAGGCGGGCGGAATATGAGGGCAAGAGATCAAGACCATCCTGACCAACATAGTAAAACCCCATCTCTACTAAAATACAAAAATTAGCTGGGCATGGTGGCATGCGCCTGTAGTCTCAGCTACTTGGGAGGCTGAGGCAGGAAAATTGCTTGAACCTGGAAGGCGGAGGTTGTAGTGAGCCCAGATCGTGCCACTGCACTCCAGCCTGGTGCCTGGCAACAGAGCAAGACTCCATCTCAAAAAAAAAAAAAAAAAAAAAAAAAAAAAAAAAAAAAAAAGAAAGAAAGAAAGAAAGAAAAAGAAATCAAAAGAACAGTATCTGGTGATACATGAACATTTGTATGAAATTCAAATTTCTGTATCCATAAATAAAGTTTTATTGGAATGCCATCAGGCTCATTCATTTACTTATCCTATGGGGCTGCTTTTGCACTGAGGAAGCGTTGTGTAACTGCAACAGAGATTGTACTGCATGCAAAACTCAACATATTCACAATCTGGCTCTTAACAAAAAGCTTGCTGATCCTTGTTTTAGACTATAAAATAAGTATTTGCTTTTGCCGAAATGTCTAAGAACAGTCAACATAGTGAAACCCCGTCTCTACAAAAAAATAAAAGAACTAGCCCGGTGCAGTGACTCATGCCTGTAGTCCCACCTACTCGGGAGGCTGATGCAGGAGGATCACTTGAGCCCAGCAGTTGGAGGTTATAGTGAGTTATGATTGCATCACTGTACTCTAGCCTGGGTAAAAGAAGGAAACTCTGTCTCTGAAAAAAATTTAAAAAACAATAATAATAAAAAGAAAGCCTGAGAAATGTACAAGGAGAGCAAGAAGAAAGCACTTGAGACCTGAAAATCCAGTGACAAAGACAGCCAAGTACAGGTGGCCACAAACAGAAGCAGTTTTTGCTGCATTTACAGGTGAAATCCCTCAAAGCATGGGGAAACAGACAGGTTCTTAGATGGGGTAGAGATATGATTTGTGTTTCCTTTTACCACTAATTTGCTAATTTCCTGTTGATGGGCCAGAACCTTATGCCTTGATGCTTTCCTTTCCTATTCACGCAGTTCACTCTTTTTTTCTCTAAACCTTGATCAAACAGAATCCCAAGAACAATATCTGTCTTTGAGCAGACAGTCCTGCTAGTGGCTGGCTACACCCTCTGCTCTGTGCAGGATCTGGTGATGATCACGAGAGATTTCAGGACAATTTCAGCGATCAACGCATGGTGAAGAATGAAATAAATGACAAGTTTGCCATTTTATAGGGTTATTAACACCATTTACAGATTCCCAGAGTTGTCTGCTTATATTTTCTCCAACACTATATCCTAAGACGCAAGGAAAGTAGAGGTGGGATGCTTTTATGTTGTCATACTTTCATGAATGAAATTTTCCTGTAAGACATTTTGTCCCTTGAGGGGCAGGGACTACACTGAGAGAAAAAAGACGTCCACATATTTGTTAAAACTGTTGGGTTAGCTGCAACCATAGTCATGCCACAGTGGTGATTCAAGCCTCCACGAGACATTTGAGTAGCCTGTTCAACCTCAGGACAATGGGCGTGTGACTGGGCCCGAATGTCAGCTTTCCAGCAAACTCTGGGCTTTGCATGTAGTGGAGAGTATCTCCCTTACTATTACTGTGTTTTCTCTGCCTGTTCTGTTTCAATTGGCAAGTTGAGTGTTAGATCTCATTATTAACATGTAACATTAATAAACTGTCCACCTAAAAAGGACAGGCTGAATAGTTTCTTTTAATAGAGAAGCAAAGGCTTACATTTTAAACCAGAAAAAAAAAGTAAACTTACCTAGAAAAGTCTCCCTTTGCCTCCTGTAGAAGAGAAAATTCAACATCAGCAAAACACACTAAGCCAGTGTTAGATGCTTTAAAGTACATTCTATAATCATGACAGTTTCTCTACTGAATGAGTTCAGCTTCCTGCAGCTATCATCCTATTTGCTGCAGGAATACAATTAAAATGGAATGTATACCTTTGCCATTTGAATATGAAACATGAAATTAAACTCTAGAAAGTTGTACACAAAGACAGTGATTCATAATAACAAAATGCACATCTCCACCTCTAAGCCTGGGTATAACATGTTCTAGTTTAAACATTCTAAATATGAACATGTCTCTGGATAGAACTGTCCATTTCTAGGGTTGCTTTTTGTTTTGCTTTGTATTTTATGCTAGTTCCAAATTATGCTGAAGACTCTGGAGGTAGAGACCAGGGAAACTTTAGCAAATCCAGGACAATGCCTTGAACATAGCAGTTGCTCAATAAATACTTGTTAAAGGAATAAAGAAATGTTATCATTTTCACTGATCTTGTCATTATTAAGCTAATACTCTGTAACACACATTTTTTTTTTTTCAAAACCTAAAAAGAGCTTTTCCTTGTCTTTCAAGTGGGCAGAATATGATTTTTTGGCAACTAACTCTATTTGCTTGGCTTTCTCCAGGGTGACAATACCAAAGAAAATGGGGCCAGTATATGATCTCAGTTTCTCCCAGGCTCAGGTTAAACACACAACTTTGCTTTACAGGGATTTGCTGTCTTAACATTTTGAAACACTACAAACCCCCATTTATTGCTATGGTATCCACCCGTGTCTCTATGGCTCTTTGTAGCTTGTGGCTAAAGAAAGGTGAGATGACAAGCAGTGGGTGGATACGGCTAATGCCCATGCCCTGTAAGTCTTATTTCTTTTCTTCTACGTATGGCTCTGGGACATGAAGAGGAGCAGAACAACAACTCACCTGTAAAATATAGGAAGCTAATTCAAACACCACTTCACTGTCAACGTCAATGAGCTCCTGAAAGGAAAAAGCAACAAAGGAAGAGAGGTTTGGTATTGAACAACCACTTTTTTCTTCTTTTAAAATGACAGCTCTTCCTTGGGTGGATAACTCGAGCCCAGGAGTTTGAGACCAGCCTGGGCAACATCATGAGATCCCGTCTGTACAGAAAATGAATAAATGAGCCAGGCAGGCTGGTGCACACCTGTAGACGCAGCTGTTTTGGAGGCTGAGGTGGGAGGATTTCTTAGCCTCAGAGGTCGAGGTTGTAGAGAGCTGTGATAGCACCAATGCACTCCAGCTTGGGTAATGGTGTGAGACCTTGGCTCAAAAAAAAAAAAAAAAAAAAAAAAAAAAAGTCCCCTTTTCTGAGGAATTTCTCAGAATCTCCAATATTCACAGAGCATCTTGAGTCTCTGAGACCTTATTCAGTCCTAAACGCTCCCCACATCCTCTTTACTGCTCTAAGCTGGGACAGACTAGCGGCCCTGGGCCTGCACGGTTATCTCAAAGGCCTCACCTTTAAGTCTTCCAAGAAATTAAGAGGTGGACTAGGCCCCACCATTTTACAAATCTGTTTGTTCGTGTTATTAATCACAGAAATAGGAATGCTTGACAAGCAAAGGCATTTTCTTTATAAACTAAACTTCAGAACTTTATTGAAAGAAAGGCTTTATTGAAAGGCTTTTTTTTTTTTTTTTTTTTTTTAGGAAATGTGATAGTGGGATTGTGGCTCTTTAAAATTAAATAAAATGTAAAAAAATAGTTTCTTGGTGATACTAGTCACATTTCTTTCATGTGCTCAGTAGTTCAGTGTTGTTAGTGACTACTGTGCTGTCAGCTCAGATACAGAACATTTCTATCACTGTAGAAAGTTCTACTGGTCAGCACTGTTACAGAGGGTAAGTTTAAAAATATTGTCCGGGCACAGTGACTCAGGCCTGGCATCCCAGCACTTTGGGAGGTCAAGGTGGGCAGATCACAAGGTCAAGAGATCAAGACCATCCTGGCCAACATGGAGAAACCCCGTCTCTACTAAAAATATAAAAATCAGCTGGGCACAGTGGCACATGCCTGTAATCCCAGCTACTTTGGAGGTTGAGGCAGGAGAATCACTTGAACCAGGGAGTTGGAGTTTGCAGCGGATTGAGATCACGCTACTATACGCCAGCCTGGGCAACAGAATGAGACTCAGCCTCAAAAAAAAAAAAAAAAAAAAAAGTTTCTACCTATTAGTTCTTCCCCCAAATACTTAATTGTGACCTACAGACTTGGTCTTAAAAGCACTTAAACCTCTCCTTGGTTTCTGAAAAATATTCTTTCTCTCTCTCTATATTTATATTTTTGAAATATGTATTTCAGAATATTTATAGGTCATATCTTTTCAAACAACTTTTTTCTTTTCTTTTCTTTTTGCGACAGAGTCTCGCAGTGTTGCCTAGGCTGGAGTACAGTGGTGCGATCTTGGCTCACTGCAACCCACCTTCCAGATTCAAGTGATTCTCCTGCCTCAGCCTCCTGAATAGCTAGGACTATAGGTGCACACCGTAACATCCGGCTAATTTTTCTGTATTTAGTAGAGACAGGGTTTCAACAGGTTGGCCAGGCTGGTCTCGAACTCCTGGCCTCAGGTGATCTGCCTCCCTTGGCCTCCCAAAGCACTGGGATGATTACGGGTGTGAGCCACTGTGCCCAGCCAAACCAACTTTATTGAAGTATTACTGAAACACCTCAAAAACTGCCTATGTAAACAGTTTTATGTGTTTGGACAGATGCATATACCCATGATACCACTATCACAATCAAGGTAATAAATAAACATATCCATCACATCCAAAGATTTCCGTGTGTGTGTATGTGTGTGTGTGTGTGTGTGTGTGTGTGTGGTGGGGGGTGGGGTGTATGGTAAAAACACTTAACTGGGTGTGGTGGCTCATGCCTGTAATCCCATCACTTTGGGAGGTCACGGTAGATGGATCACTTGTGCCCAGGAGTTTGAGGCCAGCCTGGCCAACATGGTGAAACATCATTTTCACTAAAAATATAAAAATCAGCCTGGCGGGGTGATACCTGTAGTCCCAGCTACTTGGGAGGCTGAGGTGGGAGGATCACCTGAGCCTGGGGATATTGAGGCTACAGAGAGCCATAATGATGCCACTACACTCCAGCCTGGTGACAGAGAAAGACCTGCCTCAAGAGAAAAACAAAAACAAAAACAAAAACCACCAACAGACCCACTAAACATGAAAACACGATCTACCTTCTTAATAAACTTCTAAGTGCACAATACTCTCTCATTATACATAGTTCACGTGTTAAAGACAAAGAGAAGCCTGGAGTTTATCAGCATGACAGAATAATACACAACTTAATTGATATATTTCTGGTGTCAAGCTTGAGTTGAAATGTCCAACTTTATTTTTCTTTCCCTAATATCATTAGATCCCATAATGGCTGACTGGATGACAGAAAGTTAGAGGTAAGAGAGATTTAGAGACCAGCCAGCCTGACCCTGTGCTTTTACTGAGAATGGAATCTAAAAACATTGAGGGACTTTGCAAAACCACAGAGCCTTAATGGCACTTAAGGGACTGGGAACAAACCCCCAACTACTTGTCCAGTATGTGACCTCCCCTATGACTTACGTTTCCCCCCAAATCAATAGAGACTCTGTTGCAGCCAACATACTCTCAGAACAATAACTATAATCCGAGTTTGCTTAACAAGAGTTTCTTTTCACTGGCATTACAAGCCAGACTCTGATTCATGGATTTTCTAATTATTTTTTGAGAGGTCCAGAATTGGCTCCTGCAATTTAAAACAATGCATTCAAGCACACCCGAATCTTTTGAAGGAGAGATATATATCATTCAGGCTCTTTCAGGCCTGAGAATTTCAAAGATGGATACTAGTATTTGCTCTGGAACCACCTTACAAGTGTGGATTAAAAAAAAACTCATGAGGCCAGGCGCGGTGGCTCACTCCTGTAATCCCAGCACTTTGGGAGGCCAAGGTGGGTGGGTCACCTGAGGAGAGGTGGGCGGATCACCTGAGGTCCGGAGTTCCAGACCAGCCTGACCACATGGTGAAACCCCATCTCTACTAAAAATACAAAATTAGTTGGGTGTGATAGTACATGCCTGTAATCTCAGCTACTTGGGAGGCTGAGGCAGGAGAATTGCTTGAACCTGGGAGGCGGAGGTTGCAGTGAGCCAAGATCACACCATTGCACTCCAGCCTGGGCAACAAGAGCAAAACTCCAACTCAAAAAAAAAAAAAGAACTCATGAAAGCCTAAGGAAGAAATTGGGGACAATAATTTCTTACATTTAACCAGCTGAAAGAGCTTTATGGTGCCTGGAATTGATAGAGACTGTCAGTGCTGGGATGCGGAAGAATGTTTGGAATTGCAGTTCTGGGATTAGCAGGTCCCATCAGAATGTAAATCATTTAACAGTGTACAAATGGCTTCACAGAAACACTGTCCAGGGTTTCCACAATAGAGGGTTTCTACTCCACTATGTTCGTTTCCATTCCCACCTGAATGCCTTCGAGTGCACTTGTTAATGTACTGCTGTATATACGCTTTCTGTCAAACATTTACACCTACGTTGCAGCCAACGGTCAACTGCGGGCTAATATTTAACGTCTGCTGAGAGGCTTATCTGATGCGCAACTCAAAACCAGCCATCAGAAAATAACGCTTTTAAGTGCGAATGTCGCTTTCAGTTTGCCATTTGATTCATCTGGTAAATGAAAATGTCTATACCTGCGTAGAGGTGGGGGAAACAAAGAAAGGTCTTTTATTTTATTTTACACAGTCCATTATGCGGTTCCAGGAGACTGTCTTTGGTGAACATTAACTGTAACGTAACTGTTATCCACAGGAAAGCTACTAAACGCACCGTTAAACATCTAACCTGATTGAGCCAAGCTCTCTCTCACCACAGTTGTTCTCAGGGTAAGTGAGAACTGGTACCTTTACTGTGGTGACTTTTCAGGTGAAAAGTCTGAACTTGGCCATCTCCCAGTGAAGATATAAAAAGCAGGGAGAGCTGAAATGTGGCCAGTGAGAGGGAAAATCACTAAAGAATGAAGTGCCCCAGAACTGCCCATGCTTACAAAATCTGTTGGGAAGAGCTGCGTGATTACTTCGGACCTCTCCTATTTAACACGCATTGAGTTTAAGGATCATTTCATTGGATGTTCTCAGAGGACGCCACAAAGATGGAAAGGGTGTGGATAGGAACAGTCTAGCGTGGCAGGAAGACATATCCTGGCAGTCTTTGCCCAATTCCCCCGTCTCACTTGTTCATGACAGTTTTTTCCCCCCTTGTACACCTTGCCCTTCCAGGTGACTTTATCCTTAAGATTCTACCATGATGGAGCAGAGCTTTAGGTTTCAGCTCACTCTGCAAATTTCCCATGGTACTCCAAAACCTGAAAGCCACGTTCCACACAGAGGAGTTATTAGATGTTTTCAAGGGTCTTCCTAGAAGAAATGTGCTCCCATATTAAATAAATGACTCTCCCAGCCGGGCATGGTGGCTCATGCCTGTAATCCTAGCACTTTGGGAGGCTGAGGCGGGTGGATTACAAGGTCAAGAGATGGAGACTAACCTGGCCAACGTGAAGAAACCTTGTTTCTACTAAAAATACAAACATTAGCTAGGCATGGTGGTGCGCGCCTGTAGTCACAGCTACTCGGGAGGCTGAGGCAGGAGAATTGCTTGAAACTGGGATGTGGAGGCTGCAGTGGTTGAGGTCCTATCACTACACTCCAGCCTGGTGACAGAGCAAGACTCTGTCTCAAAAAAAAAAAAAAAAAAAAAAAAAAAGACTCTCCCTTTTCCTTATCTGACTTCTCCAGCAGCAGTCCAGAGGTGGCTTTTTATTTTATTTTTTGAGACAGGATTTCACTGTGTCACCCAGGATGGAGTGCAGTGGTACCATCTCAGCTCACTGCAACCTCTGCCTTCTGGGTTCAAGCAATTCTCATGCCACAGCCTCCCAAGTAGC